TTCTCAGCTCCACTTCCTCACTTGACTTCGGATGACGTTGACAAAGCGTTACAAAACTCCCCGCGGTTAATGCATGCGCGCAACACAGGTAAGCACACGCTGCGGCCCCTCCCCTGTGCCCTGCTCTGTGCCCCGCTCACTGTCACTGTGTGACAGCTGTTTGTTTACCTTGTTATATCCATGCACCGTTATATACCCGTACACATATACCTGCTATATGTAAAGGACTGTGCAAAAGTCTTAGGCAGTCAATGAAAATGTTTAAAGCTATTTCTCTGGGTTGTAAGTCCATATTTGCTCAGAGGACGCCATTTAAGATTAGAATATATGTAAACGAACAGAATAAATAAAGAGACACAAGAATTTCTTCTGTTCTTCAAAATGTTACTGATATCTTCTTGGGTGACTAGAAGGACACTGCTTTGGTTCCCAAACATCTTCTCAGGGACAGTCCAGCTATTCCATGTATATGTTAAATATCACCTCCAGTTCACATAATTAACTTAAACACCTTGACGATGCATTGATTTGGCAAACATGGTATAATAGTGGGTGAGTCAACAAATACATTGTGCAGTGACAATAACGATATATTTTTTTTCTTACTTGGGTATATCGGATTGTTGCTGTATGGTATTTTGGGGTGATTTTCAGCAAGGTTTTGGAATAGCTAAGTTAACACATTTTGACAACATTTTTTTTACACCAACATAAAATAACTACATTTTCTTTAGCAGGCTAAGACTTTTGCACGGTATTGTGTATCATCTATACATATAGGTGTATAGCTGTGCATCTATGGATATAAACACACGACGATATTTTCATTTAACTTTGTCTGATTGTGCTTCATGCCTGTTTCTCTGACGCTTTGTTAAATTGTGGAGAATTCACAGAGAAGGGAATTAGCACGTCTATGTGTATAGATGCTTGAATTGTTCTCCTCGCTAGCTTGACTGATGTTTTCTGCGGGATGGTTTCCGAATGGTGGGGGTGCAGGGGCGCCTGAATTGGCTCTGGTTCGGCGTTCGGTCACGGTGTCACAGCCGCCTGTGTTTTTGCCAGGAGGCGCCAGCTTCATCTTCCCCAACAGTTCCGCGTATCCAGACTCCTCGTCTAGAGTGCCCCCCCGGCCAGGTGGGTCTCTATCCACTCCAGCTTCCGTAAACACCAGTGAACCCAGTAACAGTAGGTCAAAGGGACTGCGATCCCAAAACATAAACATTTACTCATACTTATTTCCCGCTATTTGCTCGGCAAAAACAAAACAACGGCTGAAACACACCGGAGCCTGGATTGTTGTTCATGAAGCTGACACACGTGCCGCAAGCTGCTTTTGGCACGAGACTAAATCCCGTTTTACTAAAACAGTCCTCGGTCACACTGAGGTGCACCGCAGAAAACAAGCTCAAACCACCTTCCTTGCAAAAAAAAAAAAAAAAAGAAAAACACCAAAACATTAAAACTAGGCCTCCGCCTCCCTCTAGTGGTAGAGAGTGTTAATTACATTTTAAATGAGCCGTTTTCTTTAATGAAATACCATTGACTTTTCTACAGATCTAGCATATGAAGCGGCAAGACGGTCAGGCTGGACAGCCCAAGCTGTGTCTTCTTCAAAAGGTACGGATACATGTCGCTTGTCTTTATTTCGGACCTGATCTGGCAAGGGCAGGGCTGATTTCGGTTACTTCCTCCGCAGGATCCCAGCTCTCTCCGGCCATAGTGACCAAAACTGAAGAACCGAGATCACAGCTGGGTGAGTTAGCACTCGTGTCGCCCCCATTTGCCTTCTGAGTGAACAATCCTCGGCTTTTAACTCCTGTTATGTCTCTTTCTTAGATCCCTATCAAATTCTGGGGCCGACGAGCAGTCGACTGGCAAACCCGGGTGAGTAGGGAGTGGGAGGAGCAAGGCGTACTCCTTCCTGAGAACGGGAGTCCTTCTAAACACATTTGTCAAAAAAAAAATCAAATAAATGACAAATAAATGTGTGCATATTAAATTGACTCCAGCAGTAGGAAGTGATGGAGGAGTTTACGGAAATGGTTTCCGTACTGTAAAATATGCTTGCAATTTTATTTTTAGGGGGATATTTTTACAACCTTTTAATAACAACCAAGTTAAACTCACCTACAACAGCAGTGGTGCTTACAGAAATAATACCAGACTGCTCATTCAGGAATGACTAACTTTTGTCATTTACTGGATTTACTCCTGACATATTTAGGAGGAATGACAAGCCCCATATCCGAGTGGCATACCGCCGCAGCCAAGAGCAGAATTTTGAGTGGGAGGGGTAATATCGGATAGGACAGTCGGCTCCCAACTGCAGTGATATATACTTGCTTTATTCTGTACACTCGATATCACAGAGCAGTACTGCTACATGAAGGCAAAACACCAAAACTGTGCATTTTATCAAAATTGAGTTGAGGTGACCAGTCAAACAACTTAAAAGCCCTTCTTTTCAGTTTCAGCATGGTTACTGTGTTTCGCCTTTGTTGGGGGGTATATAGTAGGTTATTAGTAGGTTATTGAACACTAAGACTCTTCTACGTGAGCGTCAGAGGACATTGTGAGTAGTGGCGGGGCTAATCTCCGGCTCTCTCCTCCCTCCATGGCCCCATCAGGGAGTGGCCAGATTCAGCTTTGGCAGTTCCTCCTGGAGCTGCTGTCCGACAGCTCCAACTCCAACTGCATCACCTGGGAGGGCACCAACGGCGAGTTCAAGATGACGGACCCGGATGAGGTGGCGCGGCGCTGGGGCGAGAGGAAGAGCAAGCCCAACATGAACTACGACAAGCTGAGCCGTGCGCTGCGCTACTACTATGACAAGAACATCATGACCAAGGTGCACGGCAAACGCTACGCCTACAAGTTCGACTTCCACGGCATTGCCCAGGCACTGCAGCCACACCCACCCGAGTCCTCTATGTACAAATATCCTTCAGACCTGTCCTACATGGGCTCCTACCACACGCACCAGCAGAAGATGAACTTCGTGGCTGCCCCACACCCCCAAGCCCTCCCAGTCACCTCCTCTGGCTTCTTTGCCACGCCCAACCCTTACTGGAATTCCCCCACAGGGGGCATCTACCCGAACGCCCGGCACCCGGCCTCGCACATGCCGTCCCACCTGGGCACTTACTATTAGGGTGGCAGAGTGGATCCCAGCAGGAGACACATCAGGGGCAGGAACAAGCAAACCAGGGGCTTTTGTTTGGGCAAGAAGGGGGCGTAACTCGAGGACAAAAACAAAACTGGAAATTAAGGGAAGGAAACAAGGCAGAATTCCGATTTTATGAAGCGCAAGGGGAAGAGTAGGTGTCGAACAGGAGCGTGGAAAGGAAGCGGGGATATTCTGAAAAGGGAACAAAGGGATTATGGGATGGAAAAGAAGGCTTGGCCTGAGAAAGAACTGAGCATGTATCAGGAATAAAAGATCGTATGGGTCAGGTTGGAGTGGAGGCGAGATACGGAGGATTATTGTTCGGTCGTGAAGAGCAAGTTTTGTATTACAGAGGTGGAATATACCATGAGAAATAAACAGTAGCTGCATGAACTGTTACTTAATATATATGTGTTAGAGTATTAAACTACTTATTTAATTAAGAAGACATATCGAGGACTCTAGAAACAGGGAGAGGAAGAGGCAGAGGGCAGAAGGCAGTAAAAGAATCGAGGATAACTGGTGCCCGCATGGCCAGGAAGGGGGTCAGTGCCCGCATGGCCAGGGGGAGGGCTGAGGTGGGGGCGGTGGGCGTGAGCTGTACCAAACTGTGAAATGGGCACAAGCGGGATGTTCCTCGATAAGGCCGGCGCAAGACTGCCGAGGCAGTGGGGCCCACTGAGGGAGCGCCAGGGGACGACGGAACAGCGCTGAGACACCAAAGAGGACGCCGAGTAGCCAGAGACTTCAAAAGGTGCCAAAAACAAGAAGTATTATCTTTTTAACTGCCATAGCTATCAGTATTATACTACATTGTAGTTTTATGGCATTACGGGAAGTTAAAGGACAGCTCTGTCTTCTATTTTTGTTCTTAAAAGGGAACGCTTTGAAGATCTCATATCTTTGTTTTGCAATTTGGAAAACTGGAATTGTCAGGATGTTTAAATGTTGTATTGGACCTCAAGTTCAGGAGGGGGAGTTTTCTTCACCTGTGCCTTGCGTTGCCTTAGAAGCTCCTCATACTACCAGAGATTTCATAAAAAAAAAAATACCAATTTTATATTCTTTAGCAATTTTGTATTGAGTCGCGAACGCTGTGCGTTTGTTAGAATGAAGTATACGATTCAGTGTTATGTTTCTTTTTATATAATAAATATATAACTTATGCATTTATACACTACGAGTTGATCTCAGCCAGCCAAAGACATGGATACTGAAGACACTTATATTTCTAGGTAAATAATCGTCAAATAAGACTGTAAATCAGACCAAAGTCGACAAGCAAACCACCACAGCCTATGATACTTAAGTTCTCTATCTGTTCGTTTACAGTACGACTTTGTACTTAGAGAAAAACCAAAAAAAACTGGTTGTATGTATAAGACCTCTTGGCCTGGCGGGGCATTTCATCTTTTCAGGATTATTTTACTGTAAGGCTATCAACCAGGGAAGACTGAGATACTGGTTCAGGTTGGGAAGTTAACACAGGAAACATGTAACATGGTGACTGGTCTGGTTTCTTGTGTCATTCTAATAAAGTATTTTCAGACCAGAATGTGTTCACTGTTGTGATCTTTCTGCTGGATGTCCCAGCGTTCATGTGTCCGTGTATCTGGGTGAGCGACCACATCACCATGTTGCCATAACACTGCGGCTTTGAAATACAGGAGTGCGGGGGGCAGGTTTTGGAGCCACAAGCAGACTGTACCAAGCATTTAGCCAAAGATGAAGCCGCGCTGTTGACAATATGCATGCTTCTTCTGCTCTTTAAACACATAGTATCCTACCTCTTTGCAAGAATGATTCTTAGTAAACAAAAGACAATAGTCCGCACGCTTAACCAAAGCTTATTTAATAGCTACAGTCCTCTTAATGGCAACCACCAATTAGATCTAAGAAAACAGAAATCTGATGGTCTAAACCAAGAGGTCAAAACTTATACTTAAGTAGGAGAGACCGCAGTTAATCTTTTTTTCATTCTGATTTTTATGAAATGTAGAAAAATGACAATGGAAAAAACATTTTTTCCTTTAAAAGTTATACTAGTTTGCTAAACATCCCTGGCATTTGGGGGAATATAAGTTATGAAGGAAGATTGCTGTTTCTCTTTGAAGAACTGACAGCATTCAACAAATGTGCCCAGTGTCCCCTATGATTCTTTTTAAAGAAAAAAATAGAGTCGCATAATTTGACCGCTAACTTCCATAAGTTACGTAAAGCTAAAACCCCATTTCCCAAAATTAAGGCCTTATATTTCCCGTCTATTCACTGGTCGAGAAGCTGCGGGGAGAGTCTTGCCCCCCACTATTTCTTGACCTCCTCTTCCAGCTTCAGCTTCCCGCAGTTGCAGGTCCGCATGGACGGGTCGCTGGACTGCACCACACCATCGAAGCACTTGAAGTCAGCCACATATTTGCCCTGGGAGGACGCGAAAAGCATGGGCTTGAACTCATATCCCCAGAGGATCTCCTCGGGGGTGTAGGAAGTGCGGCTCTGACAGGTAGCGGCCGTGGACTCCATGGTGCCGTTGAGGGTCAGGACAAGCTCGAAGTCGCGGGTGGGCAAGTTCTCAGCGGTGAGGCCCCACAGCGGGCTGGACTCGTCGAGGACGTGGTAGAAGGTCAGCGGCAGGATGAGGAAGGGGCAGTCAGTGCTGCCATCCATTCGGAAGTCCACACCCGTCTGTTGAACCAGGGTCTTCTCTCCTTCTAAAGTCTCGTGAGGGAAGAGCAGCCGTCCGGCCAGTTGACACTGGATAAGGAGACTTCTCCTCATATTGGCCACTCGCACCATCAGACAGAGCTTGTCCTCGTGCCTGCAGACTACCGCCAGCTTGCTGAACTGGATGGTCTCCGCTCTCTTCTTGGGTCGGCCCAGCTTAGCCAGAAAGGTACCCGTAATGAAGATCTCAGCCAGACCGGTGAGGACCAGCTGGGCCACCAGCGTGAAGATGGCCAGGGGACATTCCTCAGAGATGTACCGGTAGCCATAGCCGATGGTGGTCTGCGACTCCAGGGAGAAGAGGAAGGCGCCTGTCATGCTCTCCATGTTTTCCACGCAAAGTGTGTGGTTGGAATCCCGCTCGTCATCCATGTCTCCGTTCCGCATGCCGATGTAGTAGTACATAATGCCGAAGACGAACCAGGTCATCAGGAATGTGGTGGAGAACAGGGTCAACTTGTAGCGCCATCTCACGTCCACGACGGTGGTCCAGATGTCGTGGAGGTACAGCTTGACCATGCCCTCCACGTTATCGATTCTTACGTTGCTGTGCCCGTTCTTGGATACCACCCGTCTGCGATTTCCGTCATCCATGCCGGTCATTTTGTAAAACTGGGAATTGATCACTGCCTTGTTCTCGCCCTCCATCTCCCACAAAAATAAAGAACTAAATGCATAAACATACAGAACATGTGATCCATCAAAGAATATACTCTTCACATGAGACTATTCAGACAGGCGAAAGGGTATCACCACAAGCGCCAATCTAACACACTAATTACAGTTTACCTTATATAATTCTTATGATGGATTTTTGCAAGTTTTACTTGAAAATAATTGCATTTTTTTACCAGGCTAATTCTTAGGCAATAATGTAGGTAATGCAATTAATTTTCAGATTAGTCTGGCAATATAACCAACAGTTTACTGACACGTGAAAACATCAAAATGTTATTTAACTTGGCTAGTTTTGCCATATTTCAGCACAACATACTGTCATGTTCACACAATCACACAATGACCTTTATAAAATACAGAACAACAGGGTATAGACTAAGAACATGCATTCTTTGGAAAGCAAGGTGGAAATTCCTTTCTTTGCTTTAGTTAATAAGCAATAACTCAAAGTTGTGAATTAACCCAATTCCAAGAATATGTTTTTTTAAACTTTATTTCTGTCAATCTTTTTGTCCCAACAAAGTGCCGGTAAGACCTACCGTTAGTTCCAGCTCCTCGTCCCCTTGGAATACAAAGTTTTCTCTGGATTTGAGCAGTTATTATCCGTAATGCGAAACTAACAGGTTAGAACTCCTTGATGAATCACACAATGCCGTTGCTCTTCTATTGTGTGTGCCGATGTGCGCCGGACTTCAGCACAAAGATTTTTAGGACAGCACGGATTTAAAAAAATAAAAATAAAACCAGGTGGTGAATGAGTGTAGAGCTAACAGCAAATCAGCTTCTGTCTCAAGTATAATACAAACTCCACCTTCCTAGCTGTGGCTTTAATGGCCACCGACGGCACCTGTCCCAGTCCCCTCTCGTTTCTCTGCTCCCAGCTCTCCTCTTTTTTAAGTTTTTACGGCCGGCCATCCAGCCTGAAAGCACCCAGGCCAACGCTGAACTCAGACAGGGACCGAAACAGTCCTGCTTACAGTAAACACTCCTTGGTTTCTGGATGCATGTGTACAGAAATATGAAGAGGCTGATGTTACATTTATTCTTACCATAAAAGGTGGAGGTTTGATTTTGAAACTCAGGGACTGATTATTATGCCTGGATATTACTAATAACCATAAAAAGGGCATTCTTATTAATTAAATTCGTGTATTCTCTGTTAAGCCTACGGGCTATAAATTATGTTCCTGATACTGCAATGTGAAGATATTAAGTTCTTATAATCAAATAAAGTCATAAATTAAGCTAATTTAATACCATTTTATCGTATGTGCTCGTAACGCTGGTAAAAAAAATGCTATGCTCTTGCTGAACGGATTTCATTGTTTGTTGCTGAACATATTGTCTTTTCCAGCTCTGATATCCACACACGGGTGACACTAATTCGTTGAGACGCAGGAAGTCATGTTAAAAATATCTGTCAAACATTCACGTAAATGCTAATCACCGCTTAAAGAAAAATAACACAGCCCATCAGCAAGCTAAATGTTTCGCGGATAAAATCTGACTCGCGTTTTACCAAAACGGACGTGAAGATCAAGCGTTTGTTTACAAGCAGGACTCTGTAGTTGTGTGGGATGTCCATGCTGCCACAGTAGAAAATAGCGATTACCAAATACAATATGGCCAAATGCAATGTCGCAGTTACCTGTAGACTTCAGTTCTCACCTTTATTGATCAAGCCTACATGAAGACGCAGATCATGTGAGAAATGAATCGTTCAAATACACCATTCATAGGACAAAACATATAAAGGTATGCAATTTTTTATGAATAGAAATATTTATATTTTATAAAATTTCTTCCCACAAGCAGGGAATCACAATAATCAATAATAAAATCATAATAATTTTATTTTCCCTCTTTTTTACAGTAGGTAAATAAGACAATTTCCCCCCATTTTAATATTACAGATATATGCATGAATTGAGTATTGGCATTTTTGTGCAGTGTCATTTCCAGGCTGGGCTCTGGAGCACATCCCAGGACACAGAGGGTACATCCTGGGGCATGTGCCAGCTCTCTACGGGGGCACACACGCCATCACACGCTAAAGGCAGCTCACAGGCACCAGTGTCTAAACCACAGACGTATGGATCACAGGATCGAGGAAGATGGAGTCCCCATCTTGTAAACAGGGTGAAAATGCAGGCACCCAAAGCGCTGGGAATCAAGCCTGCAACCCAGGAGGTGTGAGGTCATGACAGAGCCCACGCACCAACTGTATTTATGTACTATTCTTAAATACACATATTCTTGAGTCACGTGTGTAGAATCAGTGCAATGATAGACCTACGAACCTCTATCCTTAAGATTAAGATAATTTTATTGATCCCTGTCAGAAATTCTTAGAGGACAGACAAGCATGCAGCAGTGGAAAGAAAAAGAGACCCACTCTATTTTTAAACAAATCTACATTTTTAAATACTGATTTAATCCAGGTTCTGCTGGCAGGAGGCTACACTGAGCATCAGGCTGCTTCCAGGTTCAGCAGCACACAAGAATAAGGTGAAGCAGGAGACAGTGGGAACAGCCAGGTAAAAGGCGGAAGCCACATTCTAATGCCAGAGATGACTGTGAACTTGTCTGACAGTTTCTCATGAATCAAAGGATGACATCAAGTGACCTTCAAAAGGAATGGGAAACATTAAGTGCAGGTGTGAAGTGCACTGCTAGGACAGTTCGTATCAGGCTCCTAGAAGCAGGACTGAAGTTCCATAAAGCAAGGAAGAAGCCCTTCATTAATGAGAAGCAGGGAAGAGCCAGGCTGCAATTTGCAAATATATATATATTCACAGATGCACACCCATAAATTAAAAAATGAGTGCAGCAAAAATTTGTGCTGCATGTGGTCTCAATTTTTTCCATGGCTCTACATGTAGTGCAAAGACAAAGATATGATCACATGGGGGTGGTGGTGTGGGGTGGAGAGATTGACGGATTTGTTAATGTTTGGCTTTACACTTGTTGACGTGTGGGTCAGTTCCAGGTAGGAAAAGGTCACTCTATTCCTCTCTCTGTGCCACTTGTGACGCCGTAAACACGCCATAAATATGTGGACATTCAAACTGTCTCTGATCACTCCGGATTGTTTAATTATGATACTGCCCTTGAAGGTCTGAATTAAATTGAGGTCCACAGCTTAAAAAACAGAAACAGATACATCTTTAAATTCCTTCTATAAGTTAACAATTTATTAAGAATTTCTAACAAGTGTCTTTATAGTAGCCTGACAGACTTCAGAAAAAAAGGGAACAATTCTTTTATTTTTTAGTCCCAAGAACACAGGCACAAAAGAGCAGCAAAATAATCAGTCAATCCATCTCCTGTACCAGTGTTTCCTAATCCGGTCCTCAGGGACCCAACAGTCAGTCCACATTTTCACTCCCTCCCAGCTCCCGACTGGAGCAAAAACATGGACTGACTGTGGGTCCCCAAGGACCGGGTTGGGAAACGCTGTCCTATACATTTTATGCAGTACAAGGTCACAGGGAGGACAGCACAAGGCAGGGGCACATTAATGTGCTGGAAGAAACCCACAGAAGATCCAAGAGATTTAGCATTCGAGAGAGTTTATTGTCATATGCTCAGTCAGCTACACTAAGCAGTGGAACTCTCGCTCTGCATATCCATCCGGCCACTGGGAAACACAAATTATGCACAGAACACAAATTCAGATTAAGTTGCTTATGGTAAGACAATAAATACAAGTACAATTATAAGAATACACAGACACAGTGCAATGTATTATGTAGTGTAATGTAAACATAATGCAAATATTGCAAAGGAGTGGATAAGCAACTAGTAGGGGGTGCTGGAGGGGGGGGGGGAAGGGGGGGGGGGGGGGGGGGGGGGCAACAAGAACTTGTTTCATCTTTGTATTTGAGGCTGCCGGGGGGGGGGAAGTGGGCGGGTAGGTAGGAGGCGGCCGGTTAGGTAGGAGGTGGCCGGTCAGGGAGAAGTGGCCGGTCAGGTAAGAGGCGGCCGGTCAGGTAAGAGGCGGCCGGTCAGGGAGAAGTGGCCGGTCAGGTAGGAGGCGGCCGGTCAGGTAGGAGGCGGCCGGTCAGGGAGAAGTGGCCGGTCAGGTAGGAGGCAGCCGGTCAGGAAGGAGGCGGCCGGTCAGGAAGGAGGCGGCCGGTCAGGTAGGAGGCGGCCGGTCAGGTAGGAGGTGGCCGGTCAGGGAGAAGTGGCCGGTCAGGAAGGAGGCGGCCGGTCAGGGAGAAGTGGCCGATCAGGTAGGAAGTGGCTGGTCAGGGAGGAGGCGGCTGGTCAGGAAGGAGGCGGCTGGTCAGGAAGGAAGGGAAGGCCAAGAGCCTGGGAAAGCAATTCAGTGGCAGGTCCTGGGGGACGGGGCCTGCTTCAGCAGATACTGGCAGGTGTGACGAAGGAGAGAGAAGCTTCCGGGGTGTAAACGAGGCATTTGGTGCCCGTTCAGAAGGGAATTCATGTCACAGTTTGTGTCTGTTTGCAGCGGGGGGGTGGGGGATGGCGGGTGCGAAACAATGGCATCCCCTTGGGTGTCTAGGTGTCGATGCTTCCAGTCTGGAACCGGTCTGCCTGGGGTTGCCTCCGTTACCGCCGTCACACGGGAGGACGGGTGGGGACAGCTCCCGGCGGCTGAAACCCCCTGAGGCTGGCTGTGGGGACAAAGGCAGACCCAGATCTGCAGCTGGGGGGGTGGGGGGTTTGGCGTTTCAGCCGGCCTGGTTTTCATGTCTTGTTGACGCACAGGTGTGTCATCTATTGGGAC